TAAATGCAAAATTTTATTTGAAAATTTTTTGTCAGGAATTTTTTTTGTCAAAGGTTTTTTGTCAAAAACACATTTTGTTCGTCAACAAAAAAAGAGAATTTTCATTTGTCCTCTATAATCATAACAATTGCGGCTTTTCTGGTGTCGGGTACAGAAAAAGAATATCTGTTACCATGTCGCAATTTAACTTTCCACGTCCGAGTGCCGTCACTGCAGGCATCATTGCGACAACAGCAATTGCCAGAGTTCCCTCTGTTCCAAATCATATGCAATAATTAGCCAGTGCACGGGCTGCCCGCGCGAAAATGCGTTTTTATGCGTTTTTGAATAAATGCAAATGCGAAAACCCATATTGCGACGACCCCGGTGTTTGTGTATGTGTGTGTCAACTCGGCACCCAAGCAAGCTCCGGTGCGAAAATTTTGCGAGTGAGTTCCTAGGCCAAGTGCCACCCCAGAACCGTGGTAACAACCCTCATGCACGTCTAGGCTCCGCGTATGAGCGCGTGAAAGTTTTGGCGGGAAAGTCGCTAACTCGGAACCAGAAAAGCTAGAAAGCTGAAAAGCTAGAAAAGCTAGAAAGCTGAAATGTTGAAGTTATGTCCCTCGTCCATATAGAACTCAAAGATTTCAAATTCAGCCCCTCGGTGTGCGTGGTTCCCGCGTACGGCCCCATGAAGGTTTCTGGCGCGGAAATCGCTAAACTGAGAAAGAGAATAACTACGAGATTGAATTTTAAGGGGATGTTCCCAGCCCATCTGCAATTTAAATTTATCGAATTCAGCCCCGAGCGTGCGCGGTTCTCACGTACGGCCCCGTAAAAATTTTTGGCGGGAAAATGGCTAACTTCGGACCCAGGGGAGGTGCGGAGCTGAAGTTTTTAGAGAATGTTATCAGCTCATGTACAACTTAAATGTATCAAATTCAGCCCCCGGGCATGCGTGGTTCTCAAGCACGGCCTCGTGAAAATTTTTGGCGGGCATATGAGTAACTCAGGAACTGGGAAAGCTGAGAGCCTGAGATTTTAAAGGGATGTCCCCAGCCCACGCAAAACTTAAATTTACCAAATTTAATCCCCTGTTATGCATGGTTCTCACGTAGGGCCCCGTGAAAATTTTTTGGCGGAAAAATGGCTAACTTCGGATAGGAAAGCCGGGGGCTGAAATTTTTGGGAACGTTCTTTGTTGAAGTACAGCATCCACAATTGAATTCCAGAAACCAATATTTCATACATTTCTAGCTGCTGGGTTTGCAAGCGATATCATTACAGCACGATACACTGAAACGCATAATCGCACGGGGCCACACGGTGCGTGTCGCCAATGATTTGCAAAGTTCTCCGCAGTTTTTGTCGCTACCGGCACCGGTTTTTCCGGCAAATGCTTCTAGCTAAGCAAATTAAGACTGGCTGCCAGAACTGTCAGGAAACACTCCCTTAAAATTTCAGCTTTCTAGCTTTCCTGGCTCCGAGTTGGCAACTTACTTGAAAAAAATTTTCTCGGGCCCGTACGTGGGTATCACGCACACCCAGTGTCTGGGTTTGAGCTCATTAATACCTGCTTGGATGGGGGAACATCCCCTTGAAATTCCAATCCTCTAGCTTTTTTGGTTCCCGAGTTAGTGACTTTCCCGCAAAAAAATTTCATGGGCCCGTAAATGCGTACCACGTGGCGTAAGATCGCCGATTTTGGAGATCGGGGATTCCTACACGCATGTGGATTAAGTTCCCAAAGTTTCAGTCCTGTAGTTTTTATGGATCTCGAGACGAAAAATCGATACAGACGCACAGCATACACACAGACACACATACGCACACAGACATACAGACACACAAACACGCACACTGGCACACAGATAGCCTCTCGTCAATATGCGTTTTATGCACTGCATAGCTGCAAAAAAACGCATAAAAATGGATTTAAAGTCAACGAACCACAATATTAACTAGAACGCTTCGATCTGCAGTGATTTGAGGAAACTGTGTTGCCATAATCCTCTTTTCCTTAGACAAGGTACCCTGGGAGAAAATCAAAAGCTGCGAAGAAGTTGTGTAGAGATTACCTGCCCATTTGCCACCAGCAAGTTTATGAAGATCACGCGGCTTGGCCAAGAAAAATGGATAAACGATGTTAAAAAGACTGTGCAGCAGACCAAATGTGACATACACTATACAGATCCAGGAAATTAGGCCACATACATCCATGCTGCTAAAATTCAATAATTTGTTTTTTAAAAAATAAAATTGAGAAGTCAAAAAACAATCACAATTTTCCGACAAATGTGTCACCACTTGGGGTGACTAGGTGATCATGATGAACCTGATCGAACATTCGAAGAAAATGATTATCTGCAGTTTCAGCT